TATATGTGCACATATATATAAGATGACTGCTACTTTTATAAATCACGTTAAATAATAATATATTCCATTTGACCTATGTTTGTGAGTTATACTGATTTTATTTTAACTAGAATGTCGTTTGTTAGTGTTGAGTTTAAAAAGAATTAATGCAGAATTATAAATCAGAAATCTCTGATGACAACCGTAAATAACTTCACACAAACGTTGACGCAAAATCATTTGGTGATTTAGTGATTGAATGGTCCGGTGATTTAGGTATGCATGTCATACGAGTTACATACATCGTATAAAAATTTATTTCTATCAATTTTTCAAATAAATTTGCTCTAACAACTTATTTGTTCATGTCATTTGTTAAAAATAACGAATTATAAAGTAGTATTTATGGCTGTTAAACGAGTTATTTTTATCAATTATTGTATTTTTTCGTTTAGCTATTTAATTTTTAATAATATAATAAGAGTCATCGTAGTATTGAACGTATTTAACAATATAAAGTTAGTATATACTTCTTGTATCTTAGTTTAAATATGCACAAGTCTGTGTTGCGCAATCACATTCAATCACAATCGCAATCATCACCTAACCAATTCTCATAAACAAATACAACTGTACTATATTATATGGACTCGCTAAGACATACAGCAAAACAAAGTAAACAAAAATGAAAATAAATAAATAATAATAATAAATAAAAATGACAATAATAAACAATAATAATAATAATAAATAAATGAAGTATAAAGGAACGATACTTATAACGATGAGTCTTTTATTGAAATCTCAATTATAGCTACGGGACAAAATTAAATAACTCAACTTGCTCTACTGGTTAACAATTCATTTTTAATCGTGCGTGAGTGTGTGTGAGTGTATTTGTGTGTGTTTGTGTGTGTGTGTTTGTGTGTATTTGTGTTTGTTTGTTTATTTGTATGTGTGTGTGTGTATGAATGTATCAACACACAAAAATCGTAAACTTATTGATGTCGTTGATGTCGCTTATGTGATAAATGGCGTTGTTTTAACTTTAACATTTGCTAATATTTATATGACATTTACTTAACATTTTCTAACATTTACTTTACATACTCCGACTTATTTCAATCCATTTCTTCAGATTTGACTCTTTTTTTTATAGCACAACACAAAACATTGAAAAAAACTATGATCGTTTGTTATATGCCTCTTAGCTAAACTTCAGCATATGCCAATAGTATTAATAAGCAAAAACTAACAACAACAACAGTAGCAGCAACAACAATAACAACAAAAACATCAACATCAACAGTAGTAGCAACAACAACAACAGCAACAACAAAATCTGCACAAAAACTCAACAACGACAACGGCAAAGTTAAGTTTGACGAATGAATGTACTACAAAATGATTAAAGTGATTGATTGAGGAATGCATGAATTGACAACCCCGCATTGCATTAGCATTCAAACATAGCCAATTTTTATAATTTTATTTATTTTATTGCTGTTATTTACTTTAAAAATGTAAATAACTCTATGCTTAATACTCTTTATAAATGATTAAAACAGTGATTTATCACTTTTTACTTGTATGCACCTCTTATAGACAAATATTACTAATGAAAATAATATTTCAATCAACAATAAATGACGTCAAATAACGACGTGGCAACAGTACAACAACCTCTATCTTATCTTTTGAACAACAAATGCAATAACAACAACAACAACAACATTATTTACACCACAAAAACAACGAAGTCAAAACCCTAAACTATAATGCTAAAAATTTGGACGAAAGTAACGTCGACAATTAAATAAAATCAACAACAACAACAACATCAATAACATCAATAACAACACCATTACCACCAACAACAACAACTAAAAATCAGAACAGCAACATAAGCCAAACCAACAAAAACAAACAGAACAAATTCACTAGCAACAGCACTAACACAACAACAGCTCCAACAACAACAACGCATAGCAACGCAACAACAACAACGACAACAACGTGTACACTGCTACAATTACTACTTAATTGCGGTTAGATATTGAATGATTAAAATTACAAAAAAACTTGAAAAATTTATCAATTGAATAAATGAAAGATTAAACGTTTAAATGAAAAAATGATTGATAGATGGAAGGAAATAAAGTAAAAGAATGCACTGACGTCACACCGCACACACGTGCTTTCAAATGAATTCACAAATCTTTAACGTTAACAACTCTAAGTTCTATTTTTACAAGGCATCGTGGTGTTACAATTGTCATGCATCACACACTCACACAAAACACACACACAGACGCACACAATGACACACAGACACACATACACATACACACACATTCTCATACACACACAAAGACACACAAACACATGCCTAAATATAAATTATTTAATTGATTGAGTGTACTGTAACACTGAAATATTGTAAAAATAATTAAGCACATAGAAAATAAATTTGAAATGTCATAAAAAAATATAAAAAGTCGTAAATGAAATCAAATTAAATGATGCGGATTGCTTGAAGACATTGCATCATTTCTATTAAAAACTCTTCAGTTACACATGAATAAAAACATAACAAAGACTCTTCATGACTGACCATCGTAAACATGGCAGTATCTGTCTCGGCCCACTTCATCGCATCACTATCATTGCTTGATACGATTTCTTTTTCCACCATCATCTAGAGATCAACGTCATCAGTTTTATCTTCATCCTCATTCTCATCACCATCGTCGTCATCATCCTCATTGCCATCACCATCATCGTCATCTTCATCCTCTCATCAAGTTGTATCGCAGAAGACAATGTAGTGAACCTGAGCAATGTGCAGCTCATGGTTTGAGCGTAGGTGGAGAGGCTTGTACGTCTGTTTGTTTGTTTGCGTACACCTCTGCCTGTCTGTACAATGTACAGTGTACACGCCTGTTTGCCTGCTTCTTTCTGTGCTGTACACTCTCGTGCTTAGCTGGTTATTTGCTTGAACAATTGCAATTGTGTTTGTTTGGTCGAGTGATGGCGTACAGCATGCTGTTCGTTGTACGCGAGCATTATTGCAGAAATGCAAAAAATTCATCACTATATTTAGATGCAACATAAAGATGTGTACACATGTGTATAGAAATATGCATATGAAGAAATGAACAATAATTTGACATAGCTTAATGCTAAACACACATTTATTACCTTATAATGATAATCCTCTGTTTGAATGTAAATAATTAATTAACCTCAGCGTTAACCTGCTTGCCGCTACTGTAAGTACACATCTACACTTCAGTACAGTGCAGTACAATATGGTACAGTGCAGTACAAAAAATAAGAGCACCGACGATGTTTGAATTCCTACATACATGTAAAAATGTAACAGGTGTTGAAAACATTAGAGATAATGAGTTTCGAGTAAATTTTATATACACGTTCGAAGAATTAAATTTATAGTTTTGTAACTAATTAACTTTACATGACTATTTGATGTCAAACTGCATTTATTGGTGTGTGTGAAAAGATACATATGAAATATTAAATTTGTTTACATTAATTCATGTGTACGTTCATATGCATATCAACATGCATGCGTGTCCTCCCGCCATACGCATCATTATCAATTTTTGTAGAAGCAGACGCATATGGTAAGCGTACAACCATCACAATTCTCTTTCAATGCTTATGAAGTTTTTCTGTTGTTTAAGATGACGCTGGTGGTTATGTTGGAGATGACGACGGCGTTGAAAACCCTAATAATAATCACGTTGAGAATAATCAACAATAACAACATCAACAGTAAAGATGATGACAGCAGAAAGAAAGTTAATGACAACAACAACAAAAAAAGATGACGATGATAAATATGACACTTTGTACATTAATGTTGACGAAGGGCAATGAAACAGGCGAGCAATGTCAGCTTGCGTGTATGTTTTATTTATTACCATAGATCTTTTTATTTCCTTGTTTCCTTTTTATTGGACTTTTATTTTGTGACGAAGCTTAGTGATGGGTTTCAAGTGATGCAACTCAGGCGTATGATACGCACCTTTAATGGTGCGTATCATACGCCCCATTAAAGGTGCGTATCATACGCTATTAATGGATAAATAATCATATAGCATGTGTGAATGTACGTGAAAGTATGAGTATTTTATGCATAGCATAAAATTAAAATTAAATTTTTTCATTCCATAAAGTCTGATTTTATGGAAGGGCTCTTGCAAATTTACATAAATAATTCTATGATACTAATTTGGGATTGAACGACAGTGAAAGTGAGAGAGAGATAAATAAGAAGAGTGTAGAAATAGAGAGAGTGATGAAGAGAAAGCTCTAGGGATGGAGAGAGAGAAGAGAGAATATGGCTTTGAGAAAGAGGATTGTAAGCGTACAATGCTTGTGGTGGTGTCTGGCTGGAAACAATTCAAATGCTTGTTGGATGTAGTGTACGAAATTCGTGCGCTTGTTTATGTAATAGTTGGATGAAATGTGGTCGTCTTTAAAATTAGAATTAGCTTCTTGTTGTTGTTGAGATTGGTTTTGTGTTGCAGATGCTATTTTGCATGCGTTTATTAAGTCGAACAGTTAACATTCCAGCTAATAAAGTTAGTTAATGACATGAATGGATGTGTACAGTGATGTTATTATTAAAACTCTTACACCGTTACAACAGATTTTTCAATAGTTCATACAAAAAGGGCCGATCATACTATAAAAATTTCTAAAATTTAGAGTGAGATTAAAAAAGTTGCTTGAATTTTTGTTACCCAACCAACGCCATTTTACTTGAAACATTGCATACGCTTCTATTACGTACATGCTCTGAACGGTGGTAGCTTAGTTTTAAAAGATTTTTTCCAAAATTTTTCTAATCGATTTTAATGATATAAAATTCAACAATTAGTAGAAAGTAAAAAAATTAGATTGAATTTTTTTATAAAAAATGTTTTACTATATTGATTTATTTAATATTTGTTATTTTATTTTACAGTAGTTTATAGGTTTATTTCTCAAAAATGCACAAAGCTCAAATAACACTGAAGACGCTGGACTACCACAAATACAGGAGCATCATAATCTCTGGCGAGGATGACGAGTTGGAAAGGTGTAGTAAGGAGGTTCGTGGCGAATATTTTCATTTTTGAAACATTTTTTTTTGAAAATTTTATTAACAAGCTTTTTCTAGTGCTTTTTTAATATTTCAAAATTGAGTAGTTGTAGTAATTATTTCTGATAAAAACTACTATAAACAACATCTTTAGAGGTTTAAACGATAACGCAATATGTGACAAAAATTGTTATTAATATTGAATTACAGCATTTAGCAACGTTATTTTCTCGAAATTTTCAGAGCAATTTATATAATGAAACACATTTTACAGCTTTGTTTCAACCGCCTCAAGGACAATATTCATCAAACAACAAATTTCAAACAAATTATTAACTTCATATGATACGTAGGCTTAATCACGAATAAGTTAAAAATATTTAAATTTTCATTAAAGAAAATTTTTACAAAACAGGTGCGTGCTTTTTATGAAATTGTTCGAACTTTGAGGACGAGGAAGAAATCCTTTAAAGTAACAACGAATCACAGCATTGAAAACGACAATGACGCTTCCTCCTTCGACCACAACAACGTCAAGACCACAACTTCAAACGTTAACGATGGATTTACGAGCGACAGGCAGCGATTGATGTCCATCTGCGGCTACTACAAACTTATGACTGAAGCCAGGAGAGTAGCGCCGATCGACGTGAAGTTAAAAAGTGGATGGTGGGGAGCTTCCAAATCGCAGATTGATGCTGGCAAAGTGAAAATTGCAGGACTGAAGGTTTATTTAAAAAATTTTCAAAACTTCGGTGCCTGCCAACAGTTAATGAGACAATTTCAATTGTGATTTAAAAAAATGTGGTACTGATGAATTTGTTTAAGTAATAATTGTTACCGTACTCAGTTAGAATTGACTGTCATTTGTAACGTTTCGATGCAGGAAGAATTGTTGATGAAGCAGAAAGAGTCAGCTGAATTGCAAAATTTGAGAAGTATTGAAGCAAGCAAGGTGAAAAATGGAAAAATCGCCACATCACCCACATCAACGTCATCAAAAACGTCTTTAAAATTTCAAAGCGTCATCGACACTGGCTCGGAAATAAATTTCAGCAAACTGATCGATGGCCACCCATCCATCTATGCACTCCAGCACAAACGCCTGCCTTGCTTCCAATACATCGGCTATTCAGATCACGTACTCCAAACAATGCACGACCTATTGACTTTGGCCTTTGAAGCTGAAGTTTCAGGAGCTTTGGTAGCTGCCCTCTTAACTTCAATTTCGTCAGATTGGAGGTTTCACTTCCTTCCCCTCAAATGCGAGAATGAAGACGAAAGTATGGATGTTTGATTTTTTGAAACATACTCAGTCTGCTGCTGATGTTGAAAATTTAATTTGAGTTTTTAAAATGACAGAAACGATGTATAATAGTATTATTTCAATGCATTGTTTCAGTTGAGAATTATTAAAATTCTATTAAACGACAATAAATAAAAAAACTAAATAAATATTTTACATTGAAAAATTGAAACTACACAACACACGCATAGTTAGGTGGGCGATGAATGACGTCATCATACGTCACGATTCAGTGTGGCCGCATGGATTAAACGACAGATTGTATGTTTCAAATTTGAAGGATTCTCTGAAATTTCGTGAATCATGTTTGCGTCATCACTGGCCACCAAGCGAACAAAGGTAGTTGGCTGAAAGTTTTTATTGGACTAGTTTGATGATCTTAGCTTATTGACAATGTGATTATAGAATAATTGCATACAACAAAAACATATTGGATAATAGTTGGAGAGTTGATATTTAATGAATATTAATCAACAAAAATTTGAATAAATTTGTTGCAATCACGTGGCATAGAAACATTTAAAAACCAAACTGGAGTAGTTTTTTGGGAATTTTCTGTTTCAATTTATATTTCAATGAGAGGCATCATCATTTTTAGCTCCCATGTAACCGGGCCAATTTCATCAATTCTTCCGACGGTGGAATCATCAACGTTCATGGCGCCACCTGCCATTCAGGGGAACGAAAAATTTGCATCAACTCTCAAGCAGTGCATCAACAAATACAACAACTACAACTACACTAATAATAATAACAATAACGAAGAGCAGTGTTGCGGCAACGACGTCTACCAAACAACAAAACAGCAGCTACTGCAACACTTATCCAGCAAACAGTACAAAGGAGTGACAACGACCATGACGAAGAAAAGTTTGTACACAACCGTGGAAGGCCTATCGCTGGAAGATATCGAAATGAGTAGCAGCTGCCACGCCAGGTACCACCACCACCACCACAAACGTTCAACCTCGAAAGACAACAACAACTGCGTTGGTAATTATAACATCAATTTCGACAACATCATCAACAACAACATCATTACCACCAACAACAACATCAACAACAAAACGCTCAATTCTTTAAAAAATTGCCGCCGAAGTAACAGTTGCACTAACAACAGCAGAGACACGTTTAACAAGATGTACGTTGAGGTCGATGACTACCACAAGGGCAATGGTGAGGAGGAGGAAGACGAGATGTACCGCTTTAATCTCCCGTTCAAACTTAAAAACTCACTTCTGTTTGGTGATAGAAAAAATTTAAGTTTAAACAAGCTGGAAAAAGATGAAGTCGGTGCAAGCGGTAAAAACAAGGCACTCCAGATCAGATCGAAATCGTCATCAAGATGCTCTTCGTCATCACTACACCACACACCATCATCATCACTGCAACAACAACAACGACGACACTTGTTGTCGTCATCATCTTTATCATCATCATCGTCGCTACGCTATGTCACATCGGCGTTATCATCATCGTCGTCATCGCCAAGGAAAAACAAACAAGCTCAATCAAAACATACAAAAAAATACAAAACCAGAAAAAAAATTAGAGATGGTGATGATAGCGATGACGAAAACGATAGTGAAGATTACGACGAAGATAAAGGTTGTGCCAGATACAAAGACAAAAACAAGAGTAGATCAAGAAGCAGCAGCAGCAGCAGCAGTAGCAGCTTGATGTCCAGCATCACAGCCACCACCGTCAAAACTGCACTGGAAGTCAACGAACTGGAAAGAAACAGGTGGCTAGGACTTGGTTTCAGTTAAAAATTTCTAAAAATATCATAAAGTTTTATAAAAGTTATTATTATTTTAATTAACCATTTTCAAAAATTAATATTATATAAAATAAAATTATTGACGCCTTATAAAGACATATTTGAACTTTTAATATGTAAAGATAGAAAAATATCTCTATGATACAGCGAAAGTTAATTAATGTATTTGAATAACTAGACATATAACTGAATTATGTTATTTGGTTTAGACAAGACCTTCTGTTGAAGCTGAGCATTTGTGATATGGCGATTCAGCAGCAACAACAACAACAACAGCAACAACATCAGCAGCAACAACAGCAACAACAACATCAACAACAAAAGTTATCGTCAACAACATTTCAACGCCAGGTGGCAAAACAGCAGCAGCAGACCAAACGACCAACCTTAGCAGCCCTATCGTCCTCATCTTCCTCCTCGCCATCATCATCAAAAGTCTTACAAAACTTGAAAAAGTAACAACCCACGCTAGAAAAGTTTTCGACAAAGATTGAAAATATAAATTAGATAATTATGAATATTTGTAGAATAAAAAAAGTTATTTTGCATAAAATTTTCAGATTTAATATAAACTTACTAATTTTTTTGAGTTGAAACTTTTAATTTTAGAATTATTATTTACATACTCAGAGCAATTCCATTCAAGATAAAATTTTAAATTAATTTCTAAATGAAGATTTTGCTAAAAAAGGCTGAAGCCTAGAAAACTGAAGAACAACATTTATGGCGGTTTTTGGACTACATCTAATCTTAACACTTTGGTCCGCTGTCTAGACCACCCTTCTATGTTATACATTTCAAAATAAAAATTTGCATCGCTAAACTGTCTTTAAATCTATTTTCAGTTTAACAGAAACTAGAAACCGAATGAAATATTTTTAAAACTAGATGTGTGATGGACTTCATTGTTACCTGTACTTACCGTTATAAATTATTGTTAATGCGGTTGTCACCATAATCTGTTGAAACTGCTATTCATCACCATGCAAAAATGCTTTTAATCTTCTTGCTTTATAAAAAAAACCCATAACATACCCAACACACACACACACAAACACACACACACACACACACACACATACATAAATATTTTCATTCATCATTCATATATAATCGTTTATTTATTTGCGTGTTTGTTTATTTGTGTGCATGTGTATGCGTGTGTGTTTGCTGGTGTGTATTTGTGTTGTGTATGTGTGTGTGTGTGTATGTGTGTGTGGTGTGTGTGTGTTAGTTCTTGTAAGGGATTGATGTTTCTATTTAACTGATGGCATTATCGCTAAGAAGTAATCCTTATTTCTTCCCAAGTTCATTCATTTTGAAGCCTTGTTTTATTTAATCAAGTATTTTAATAATTTAAATTAATTTATTTTAATTTTTCTAATTAATTGATTTAGAAATAAAATTTTCATTTATTTCGAGATTGTACTTTTTTATTCTTTAAAAAATCCAACTCTGAAAGACGTAGAATCCGTTACAGACTGCAAAGAGACAATGGAAAATTAACAGAACAATTTAGAATAATTTAATTAGCGTTAATTTGTATGAAGATTGTCGAAGTTTCAATCTAAAATAAAGATACATGAAATAAGAAATTTATACAAGTGAAACAATACAATCAGAATATCAGGAGAGTGCTAACAGCAAAATCTTATAAACCATTCATATTTACTTGCAAATAATAATAAAAGCGACGTGGCAAAGATTTGTGACGAAACTTTATGTCAATGCTATATCACACGAACAGGTAACGAACTAAAAAAAAGAGTTTAGAAGATGAAAAAAATATTAAGACAGAATACAAGCAACAACATTACAAACTTCACGAAACGACAACAACATCACAAGATTCTCTTACGTTGGAAACAACATCACCACAAAACTAACGGCATAATAACATCATTGAAAACATCAACAAAAACATTAACATCAACACATCAAAACATCAACAACAACAACATCGCTACAACAGCACCAATACTACATCACAATCACAGCAACGATCCTAAAATCAGAACAACAGCTAAAAAATCACAACGACATCCACCATCACAACAACAAAAACAACAAAATCATCGAAACATCACCACCACCAACAACAGCAGCAACACAAAATCAGTAATGACATAACAGAACAACAACAGCAACAACTCTGAAACAAAAACGACATCACAAAAACAACAGAATTTGGAGAACAAAACTCACTTCCTTCCAAATATTTATTCACGACACACACCTCAGCTCTCTCCCGGCTAAATTAAAATAAAAATATAGAAACTAATTTATAATGGTCACCTGGTGACCGAAAAAAACATTTTTTAAGACCAGTCGGTCATGGCCATTTAAATGTTTGATGTTGCTCTAGAATAGATAACAATAATTATACTGCTACTACTGCTAGTACTACTACCACTGCTGCTGTTGTTGCTGGTGCAAATGCTGCTACTACTACTTTTACTACTACAACTGCTGCAACTTACTGGTACTACTACTACAACGTATTACTATCTCTACTACTACCACTACTACTACTACCACTACTACTACTACTACTACTACTACTACTACTACTACTACTACTACTACTACTACTACTACTAATAATAATAATAATAATAATAATAATAATAATGATAATAATAATAATAATAATAATAATAACAATAATAATAATACCTAATACTACTACTAATACTACAAACACTGATACTGTTACTAATACTACTACTACAAAATCTAATAAAATTAGTAATAATAAATACTAGCAATGATTAGTAGAGCGCAATACTAGCTGGCAGTGATGATAGGAGGTTTGAGTGATAAATAGCCATTTTGAAAAACTGGCTACCCCATTCAAAATTTCATATTAAACATCAATCATTTTATAAACAGCACGATCTCTCTCTTTCTCTCTTTTTCTCTATCTCTCTTTATTTTTTTCCTTCTTCTCGTTTTCATTTCCTTCACTCTTTCTTTCTTTCTTTTCTACTTTCTTTTCTTCTTTTCTCTTTTTATTGATCTCATTCACTTCTGTAACTTCTTAAAATTTTCTCAGATTTTATTAATTTTGGCTTTTTCCAGTATTAGTTTAAATTTATCAAGATGAAAATAATGAGATAATCTATTTACGAGAAGAATGATGATAATATGAATAAAAATGAGATGATGACGATGACGACGAAGATGACGATGAGGATAAGAGTTGATGTGATGTGATGACGAACATGATTATAGAGTGGCGATGAAGAAGAAGATGACGTTGTTTCAATCTATGTATTCAAGTAACGTCTTTATGACCTCTTAATTTATGTTACACAAAATCGAATTTAAACTAAAAACTTAGGGAAAAATAAATTTGAAAAATGCACTTGCAACGAAAAAAACTAATTCCAATGAAAAAAAAAGTTAAAAATTTTAACAGCGTGGGACAACAAAGACAGCATAATCATAATAAGAACATTCTCGAACATTCTAGAACATTCTCAAGGATCCAGAACTGAATACCACTGGAGCTTATGCAAGCACCTCTGATGAATAAATTTAAACAGGAATTCACTCCTACCAAATATGCATGTACGCACATTCATGCATGCGTTTGTATGAATTCATTCACATGTATGTATGCATGCGTGCATTGCATTATGTTTTTACATACATATGTGCATTCATGCAATAATCTGCTAGTATTTCTGTATGCGTTCGTATGATATCCAAGTGTTTATCCATTTTTATGTTTGTATAAATGTATAAATACATGCCAAACTCAATCCTATCTAGTCACTGTCTTTATGAGCAGTTTTGTGAACTATTGAATGCAAGTTGTGATTTGATGTGTTTTTGTGATGTATGCAAAATAGGCGATCAAAATGTTGATGTTTTGATGTTACAATGATAATAATGATACTATGGTGTTATGTGAAGATGATAAACGTACAGATAATGATGACAAAGATAGAGATAAAGATGGTGAAGATACAGATGATAAGATACAGATGATGGTGATGATGAGTGATGACGACGACAAGTGCATAGATTTGTGCAGGCTTCCAAGACCCAACCATACGTCAATACCCATGTAACAGACTGTCTACCTGAATTTCTTCTTAATGCATACATACATGCATGAATCATTTCTTTATGTATGTATATTTTTTAAATTGTTAAAAACTTACACCGACAACATATCAAATTATTTAAACATGGAAAACAAAAGAGCAACAAAATCCAAAACGTTGCATGGTAAAAAACGTTTAAATACAAAATCAAAAATGTCCATGTCACTAGTATTATAAGCAACCACAACAACAATAACAACAATGGCATATTCATCAGCATCTTCTTCATCTTCCTCTTCTTTTTCATTATTATCTTCACCATCAATAACAAATCGGCACCATTGCTTTCATACTATCATGAAATAGAGGAAATAGAAGAGAGAAAAAGTGAAAAAAATGAAGAGAGAGAAAGAGAGAGAGAGAGAGAAAGAGAGAGAGAGAGAGAGAGGGAAAAAACATCATCAACAGACAAAATGACTGGAAAAAAAAGAAATAAGATGGAGCAATGGAATGGAACGCTCTGAGGCTCGTCAAACGATCGCAATTAAAGAACAATCAAAAGAGCATTTGAGGCTCTTCAATTCTTTAAATTTCAAAATCATTAAAATAGTTTTTTAAAAGTATTTGAAAGCGAAACATTTTTAAAAAACCAAATGTTAACTCACCAATGAGTTTTGTCTGACGTAGATTGAATGATAGATTTTGAATTAAAAAAAAACATTCGTTTTATTAACACAAAGGGTGTAGGAACATTTATATTTATTATAAAATGAAGATGGAAAAAAATAGCAACAATTTGTTTAACCGAACAAACACTTAAGATAAATGAAAGTTTTTCAGAAAAAAATTTTTTCAAAAAGTTTTGATTAAAAATAATATCAACAGTGTATTTTGAAATTTTTTGAGATTGGTTTTTATGTTTTGAAATTGAATTATTCTATTGTTTTCCGTCTAACAGACCTTCCTAGTTCATTGCATATTAACTCTTTTTAATATTACTTTATATTTATTCAGCTAGCAACACGCTATCCAGTCTAATAAATCATATTATGCCACACAACGAAACTAATGTTTTTCTATTAAATTAATAAACATACCTCCAACCAACCCTAAAAAACTCAAAAGATTGAATAAATTTATTGAATTGTTAATAGAATAGCAATTCTTTGTATGAAGTCGAGAAAATTATTTCAAATTAGCTTGCTTTTTGCGTCTTTTTTGAAGTGAGAGAGTTAGAAAACTGGATTGAAAACGCAAGGTCATCATCGGTTTTTCTACGAACGCAAACACATGTGCGGCCATTTGCAGAGATGGGCAGTAATGTAATTCAAGTAACGAAATTATTGTAATTATTACAATTACAATTGTAATTTGTAATTTGTATCGAAATTACTTTTAAGTAATTGGTAATTTGTAATTAAGTAATTTGGCACTTTTAA